AGAAGATACACCCTTCTACCTCTACGTTGGTTTGTTTTTTTTTTTTTTTATTTTTTTATTTTTATTTATTTATTTTTATTTATTTTGTTTGTTTATTTATTTGTTTTGTTTGTTTGTTTGTTTTGTTTGTTTGTTTTGTTTGTTTGTTTGTTTATTTATTTATCTATGTATCTATCTATCTATGTATCTATGTCTCTACCCTTCTACCTCTACGTTGGTTTGTTTATTTTTTTTTTATTTTTATCTATTTATTTTTATTTTTTGTTTATTTGTTTGTTTTGTCTGTTTGTTTGTTTGTTTGTTTGTTTGTTTGCTTGTTTACTTATCTAGCTATCTATGTATCTGTCTATGTATCTATGTATCTACCCTTCTACCCCTAAGTTGGTTTGTTTATTATTTATTTATTTTTATTGATTTTTATTTATTTATTTTTTTGTTTGTTTGTTTTGTTTGTTTGTTTGTTTGTTTGTTTATTTATTTATCTAGCTATGTATATCTCTATGTATCTATCCATCTATCTAAACTTCTACCTTTACGTTGGTTTGTTTGTTTATTTATTTATTTATTTTATTAATTTATTTATTTTTATTTTTATTTTTTTTTATTTTGTGGTGTATGTACAGCTAAGCGTCAAGACCGCCGCCGCCAGCGGCGGGAGAAGCAGCGAGAAGTGAAGGAGCAGTATGCTGCTGCTGCTGCTGCTGCTGCTGCTGCTGCAGCACCAGCTGCTGCTGTTCCAACCAAGCCGCATGCAGTCGCCTCTACGGGTAATTAATTCTATTTTTTTATTTCTGCTGCTGCTGCTGCTGCTGTCGCTGCTGCTGCTGCTGCTGCTGTTGCTGCTGCTGCTGCTGCTGCTGCTGCTGCAGGTGTATGGGACAATTTATTTGACGAGCAAGTGCTGCAGCATCTGCAGAATGCAGCAGACCCCCGGGTACGCTAAACCCTAAACCCTAAACCCTAAACCCTAAACCCTAATTTTGTTTTGAGGGTTTTGTGTGTATTCCTTTGTAAACCCTAAACCCTAAACCCTCACTCTCTCAATTTCTTTTTTTTTTTTNTGCTGTTGCTGCTGCTGCTGTTGCTGCTGCTGCTGCTGCTGCTGCTGCTGCTGCTGCTGCTGCTGCTGCTTGTGTGTACAGAAAGCAGCAGAGAAGATTTGCAGTGTTTGCTATCGGCTTTCCTTGAGCCCGTAGGCCTCCAAACCCTAAACCCTAAACCCTAAACCCCAAACCCTAAACCCTAAACCCTAAACCCTCGCCTTGCAGGCTAGGAGGCTGCTCGTAGCTCCTGTAGGAGCAGGGGAGTGTATGCTGATGCTGCATCTAGGGTTTAGGGTTTAGGGTTTAGGGTTTTCTAGGGTTTAGGGTTTAGGGTATTTGAGGGTTTAGGGTTTTCATATCGTTTATTAGGGTTTCAGGTGTACTAGGGTTTAGGATTTATAGTGTATTGTTTTTTTAGGGTTTAGGGTTTAGGGTTTAGAGTTGAGGATATTTTTAGGGTTTACAATTTAATATATTTTTAAGCTTTAGGATATTTTCAGGGTTTAGGGTTTAGGGTTTAGGAAATTTTGAGGGTTTAGGGTTTAGGGTTTAGGGTTTGTGTATTTGCAGCAAGTGGGATAGCCCGTTTGCAACAAAAGAGAGAGAACTGCTGGGGTTAGAGTTTAGTGTTTAGTGTTTAAGAAATTTTTAGGGTTTAGGGTTTAGGGTTTAGGGTTTAGGGTTTAGGGTTTAGGGTTTGTGGTGTATACGCAGCAAGTGGGATAGCCCGTTTGCAACAAAAGAGAGAGAACTGCTGGGGCTGATGCAGCGGCATTTGGGGGGTAAACCCGACGATATTACTGTTGTTGTTGCGGTTGTTAGGTGAGGGTTTAGGGTTTAGGGTTTAGGGTTTAGGGTTTAGGGTTTGGGGTTTAGGGTTTGGGGGGAGGGGGAGAGAGGGAAGGGAAGGGGGAGGGTTTAGGGTTTAGGGTTTAGGATGCGGTGGAAAACGAGGGTTTAGGGTTTGGGGGGTAGCGGGATATGCTGGGGGCAAAC